TATTAAAATTCAAAATAAACTTATTTTTCGAATTCATGCTGCAAATAAGGCCATATTTCGATTCCGAATGAATCATCGTCAGTGCTCCTTGTTGTATATATAGGGAAATATTGACTTTGTCAAGATTAACTTTGACGTTGTAAAAATTAACTTTGGTGTTGTAAAATTGAACTTTGATGCGAATTAGGTGTCAGGTTTCTTAATTGGCTGGTCATCTTCTTTGGTTTCCTTTTCTTCATCGATAGCATCATATTCTTCTTTGTCACTATTTACGATGCTAGTTTTTATTACTTCTTTGTTTTCGTTGTTGGTTAAGCGCCGGTTGGAAGTGAGGTTGTCATTTTTTGTTGTATATTTATTTTTGGTTTATTGATGTCGATTAGGACTGCTTCTGCAATTTTAAGATGCGTGTAGTTGCTGTTCTGGTATATTACTTTGGTGTTGCTGTCGAGGATTTCACGACTCAATCACAATTAGCCGTAAAGAAAAATGGAGCATGCACCCTGCTGCAACAAAAATTAGGGCGTAACGTGCTTCACATAGCTTGCCGTCACCGCATATCTGAAATAATACTTGAGCATGCGTTTTCTGCATGCATGTCGTCTAATACGTTAGGTCCAGAAATAGCACTCTTCTTGCGCTTTAGAAATGAGTTCAACAGCATTAACCAAGCTGATTACAATACAATTGTGGATGATGAAAGCATGAATAGCAAAGTTGAACAACACAAAGAAGGTATCGTTAGCTTTTGCCTAACGCAACTTGAACAATTTCAGCCAAGGTGCGATTACAGGGAACTACTGGAGCTTTCACTTATTTTGCTGGGAGAGACACCGCCAAGGGGAGTCAGAGTTCTGCAACCTGGAGCTCTGCATAGAGCACGCTGGATGGCGAGACTAATATACGCCTTCAAATTGTACCTGTATCGTCATCAGTGTCTGCTGACAAGAGTTGAAGAAAAGGGAATCTGTCGCTTCATCGTTTTTGGCATCTGTGCGTATCTTAGATCGAGGTTCACGGCTCCAGATCTTCTTAGTGCCGCTAGGCATGATCTCCAGCTGGTAAAGAAAATCCAACAATTCAGAGATGTAGACCGTGAAGTTTCTGTTGCCGCTGCAAACGCACTTTCTAGACATCTATGGTATGTTAGCGAGGAACTTGTTGGAGCTGCGTTTTTCGATGATCAGATTTCTCATGAGGAGAAAATGTTGATGGTTGATGCTCTGTCAGTGGAATCAAAAACAACCAACGACTTCATCAAAAGAGTGCAGATGAATATTAATGATATATCTGATGAAATATCTGTCAAAGACTTTGTGTCTTCGAACACCATGCAATTCTTTGCAATCCTCGGACTGCCTCACTCATTTCTAAACAAGAGACCCTCCGAGTGGAGAGAAGATGAACAGTACAAGAAAGCTTTTGAAGTTGTAAGCGGTATAAAGCCAGTCAGTGATTTTGCAGAGAGAGGAGTTGCTTTGATGCAGGATTTTAACAGAGCAATAGTATCGTCTGAAGAACAAAAGCAGTATCTTCTGCAAGTTGTTGAGTACCATCGTACCCAGTATCCAAACCCAAAGAAAGAGACATTAGTGGGAGGAAATACATCTCCTTAACAACTAAATGGTCTAACAGTGACACTGGGTACTGGACATAATAACTTTATCTGGTAGTTTGTAACAGTTTTGTCATGTTTTGCAACAAAATGCTAATACGTATAATTAGGTGGTAGCACAGGACACTTTGATTCGCTTGGGCGACCTCTAAATTTTGTCTATGGTCAATAAAATTTTATCATATTACTTGTTATATATGAGAGAAACAAATAAAAGTGTAAGACCTGAAAAATTACGCGTTTTATTTTTTCTAATGTAATTGGGGACCACCCTAATATATATATAATATTTCAACCGTCTGTTAAATGAAACAAATGTCAACTTTGACGCTCCACTCATCGAAGGTCCGATTCCAGACATCACTGTAGAGGAGCATACAGAAGCTCTGAAAGCTATGAAGGATGGAAAGGCAGCCGGGCCCTCTGGACTCACAAATGACATTATCAAAGCGTCTGGTACTGCAGGTATCCAAACGTTACTACAACTTTGCCGTGAAATCTGGAGAAATTGCTCAATACCGACTGAATAGAACTATAGCATGACAGTCCCGCTATACAAAGGCAAAGGTGATCCATTGAACTGTTCATCAAATCGGGGTATACGTCTGTTAAAACATTCCCTGAAAATTTTCGAGAAAATCATTGAGAGAAGATTAACGTCGTGCATCACAATCGGAAATTATCAATTTGGTTTCCTAGCGGGGAAATCAACAATTGATGCAATTCACATCCTTCTTCATCTGCAAGAGAAGTAACTCGCAAAGCACATTACGATTTCGTCCCACGCTGGCCTTAACCATGTCTTCATGCAACTATAGTAATATTTTATTTAATATTTTTATTTACTCAGCTTATTTTTCGTTTACAACCAATTAACTCAACAACTTAATATTTGAGTTTATAAATGTACCAAAAACTATTAGAAATTAATTAGTGATGTAATAAAATTTCATTACATTATATACAACGTGAAAAGTCTCTCATTAAAAAAGACGTAGAAAGACCTAAGATACTTAGATCTGAAGTTCGCGCCGCTCTTAACAAAATGAAATCAATTAAGGCGCAAGGCCCAGATGAGATATTTGTTGAAAAAATTAAATGCCTTGATGAATTTGGCATTGAAAAAGTGATGGAAATTTTGAATGAGATAATAACAGCGGCAAAATCATGACATTTTTGAATAGCCTTCGGTGTTGTTGCTTGACAGCGAAGAAATCAATTTGCGTGGATGATGGTCCACTTTTGTATGTTATGAGATGTTCCAACCTCTTTTTAAAATATTTATTCACTAAACAAAACCCGTGACTTTCAGCAAATTCAAGGATGCGGTTGTCATCTTCATTCCGTTCTCCATAGCCAAAACCGCCATGTACGTTGTCAAAACCATCTATCTATCTATATATATATATATATACATATATATATATACATATATATATATATATACCAATTCCAATATATATATATATATATATATATTTGGTATTGTAAAATTGAACTTTGATGCGAATTAGGTGTCAGGTTTCTTAATTGGCTGGTCATCTTCTTTGGTCTCCTTTTCTTCATCATAGCATCATATTCTTCTTAATTATATATATATATATATATATATATATATATATATATATATATATATATATACATATATTACAATACTCAACAATGGATAAAGCAATATTTTTTCAAGTTCAATTACTTATATTACTTGAATACTTCAACAAATTGACTGAGTAAAAGATATTTTTGTGCATGTAACGCTAATAACTTAAATTGAGTCAAATATGAAGAAATGTAATATACACAAAATACATCACAGAATTTTATACCAAATAATCACAAAAGTTGATTAATATACATACAAAAAACGCCTTTTAATAGTGACACTAAAGAAATGTTAAGCTGAAAAGTTTGTCATATTTTTCATTAATCTTTAATTCAAATTTTAACATTAGTTTTGAGTACACACTACAACGTAATTGATTGGGTTAATGTAAGGTGGCTTTGCCTGATGACATTTAAATCTCATCATTGTCAATCTGACTATTAAATAGTTTTTTGATTGATTTTATGTTTCAGTAGCCAAAAAAGGTAATATGTTCTCAAAACTAAAATTCATAAAAAAAACAATGTCCATGAGTACCAAATGTCAAACAAATTATTTGCATAAAAATAAAAACTAAGTTATAAAAAATAGCAATAAGTGTTGTTACTAAAACCAAGTCAGTAGGGATAAACCAAATAATTGGCCAAAATTTGACATTTTTGAAGGCCTAATAGTGGAATTTCCGTTTAAGACATCAAATTTTTTAGATTCCAAAACAAAAATTGTTGATTGTTTATTGCTAGCAGAAAATTTATTTGGCCATCCCATCATAGCTTTTAAAACATCTAAATTTGAATAAGATAATGAGTGTTATCTCAATTAAGTGGTTTTTGATAAACATAGTATTTTTTTTAATAGTTTGCCTTTATTCTAAAAATAAAAATTCTAAAAATTATTCTAAAAATTAAATCTATTTTTTACAGAATTTTGGATTTATTAGTATTAGGCCTTTAGCTTCACCCAAAATGTGGATTAACTATTCAGTCCTTGGCTAAATTCACTTTTCAGGGCATCTCTAAAACTCAAATAAATTATATAATGTTTTAAACAAACCCTCATCCTAACTAATAGAACATAAGTACTAGTAATTAGTACTAATCAATTTAATTTGACTATTTATTTACACACATAAAATAATTTACATCAAAAAGAGTGTTTCTTTATCTTGTTTTGGTTGACATGTCAGGTCAGTCAGTAAAAGACTTCGAATTAGAAAAGTACCTGGTTCGAACGCTGTTTGTTCAAAACTCACACTAAATTCTTCATGATCATACATACAAAATGTGTGATGCATGGCCATAAGAAATTTAATTGCAACAAAAAACGAATTTATAATAATCAAATGCTGTGACAAGTAGCTATGGCATGCATTTGTCAGAGGGTAATTGTAAATGGTAAATAACAAAAAGGGTTAAAAAAGGTTAAAGGCCTAATGTCTAATCATTAGACTCTAATGATAATCTCACCCAAAGTTCAAAAGAATAAACATAAATAAACAAAACACTAACATTTGTACATGATTACGTGTAAAGTAAACCAGTAAACGATAAACGACGCATCACACACAATGCATGTGATAGGTGGGAATTCTTTTGTCATATTCGAACATCATCCCTGCACACACTGAAACAGGACCAGGCGTCTTTAGCTTTTTTTAACCTCTAGCCAAGACCTAGACTTAGAAGATGTAGGCGGGCCATACGCCGAATAAAAGAACAAAGAACAAATTTGTACCAAGCCGTGCCGCTGATTGAATTTTTGCCACAAAACGAACAAACCAACCTTAGCTAAATACCCTGTAAGGAAACTGTCAACATGATTGATAAAAACTGTTTTTTGACCAGTTGTTGGCCAAGAGGGAGCAGTTTCTTGTTCCGATGCCATGGTAGCCGACCAAAATTGAAAAAAGTCAAAGATAATAAATATAATTATTCTATTAATAACCCAAACCATTGAGGTATGGGCTAAAGGTAGACACATAGCTTCAATCTTTCATAATGGCGAGAGGTAGTGTTATATCGTTTTTATGTTAGTTTTTTTTTCATTTTTTTTATCTAATGTAATTTCGTAATAACTTTTACTGTAGATTGGCGTTGAGTGGTTTGTCTACGAGCTAAACCGTATAAAACCAACTTATTGAACCCAATAACAGTATATAAGAAGGAAAGTACAACACAAGAGTTTTCGCCGTATGCCAGGAATTCTATAATTCTGATATAAATAACCACGGGATGTCTGTCAAGTACGACAAGCTCAAATCTGTTCGCATATACGTACACCAAAAAAGTATAATAAATTTGCATATATATTATATCAAAAAATACGTCTTTTTTCGTTTTTCTTAAATTCATTCCAAAAAATAAATTCAAATTTAAGTTTCACCATTGTTAATTTTTTGTTTAATTTTTAGTTATAATGAGGAAATATCTAATTTATTTAATAGATTTCTGGTAACATAACACACCATTGAAGCCATGCCTTTACTTTAAAACGACTCTTACAAATAAATTTGAAGACTATGCTAGTCAAAAATTTGGACCTTTCCTAAGAGGTCTGTGGAAGTAAATTTTTCAGTAGTACAGATAAGGATGATTAAAAAAGAAAGATATCCGACCAGAGCCGGATACCATTGCTAGATATCTTTTAAATAGCTTTAATTACTGATCTATTCTAAATAAGCTGTCTAGGTTAATATAGAGTAAGTCCTCAAGAGAGGACACCGACAGGGAATGTTGAAACTGCCCGCTTTTCTGAACTATCCTATTCTGAAGACTCAGCAATAAATTTCAAATAGTCTTTAATATCTCATTTTCTAAAATATTTTCAATTTAATGTATTCAGAAAATTTAAACATTTCTGTACTGCTCTCACGGATTGAATAATATGTTAGTTTCTTGGGATATTCTCATGCCTTCCTTGTAGATATAATTTCTTAGCTGGGTGCCTCTTCCTCCTTTTCATCCTTTTGATTTTATCTGCATTGGCGTTTAATCGTTTCTTTGTTTTCTCGAATGTTCGCAATTTGTGTTTTTCCGCATTGAAGTTTTTTATCAATTTTTCTAATGCTATTTCCATCATTAAAAAAAACATTAGTTCATAAATTGTCTGCTCTTTTAGGCTTAAAAGGCATTTTGTACTAAAAAAACATGTCCATATGTCGTTACTTTAAAAAGTCCGTTCTTGAGGGGCTATTTAACATACGGAACAGTTCCGTGCCCAGCAATACTATCCATTACTCTTCACTCTTCACTGTCCGCTTTTTGGGATCTCGCTCTTGAGGACTTTTACTGTATCATGTTTGCTTTTCTTCCACCACGTGGTAGCATGCCGTGTATATCCAGCGCACGGAGTAAAACCTCAGAAAATACACTGTAGTATCTATAATATTTATTATAATTGGGCATATAATATAATTATAATTGCCTTTTTATTACAAAAAGGGCAAACTAAAATATTTAGTTAAACTATTTGGCTAGAAACTGAAATATTATAGCTAAACTCTCATTTCAACTAAATTACTATTTTTTATTTAATCTATGAAGGAAACTAAAAAAATTGTTAAAGTATTAGTTTAAATTAGTTTTAATTGGAATGTGTTAAATATTTCATTTAATCAGATGGAATATGGATCTTCAGCCTTTTTAGCATGTATACATTAAATCACCCGTCAACAAAATATTTGAATTCAAAATTATTTAGGTACGCTAAAGCTGAAACTAGTTCTTGATAAAGGAATAACTTTGCTGAACCAGGTCGGTGCATGGCAATCAAAATAAATGCAAGGAATGTTATTAACACGTGTTATAACGTTAAATTATGCACGAAATGATTTTATTCCTTGCAAGATTGTGTTCAATGTACTTTTAACGTTGCTTGCACATAAATACACATTAATTTATGATGTAGTTTGGAAATCGATTCAAATTTATGTGCTTCCAATCTGCCTTCTCTTTTGACATGGTTTTGAACACACAGGTTTGGATGGGTATATTAACAACTTTCAAAATTTCTTTCAAAGATGCAAACATTCTTTGTGTAAATAATAGCTACATCTATTTTTTGTTAATTTCTTTTTAAAAAATTATTATTGCCGTTTATAACACTGTCTGCCAACAAGTCAATTTGTTCTAGTTTTTTGTTTTGTTTTTTTCTAGTTTTTTTTTGTGTTTGTTCTTCAAATAAAATTTTTACGAAGATAAATTTTGTTGTTTTCACTCCATTAATCATTATTCACATGTGTAATTTTCATTTGAGTATCACAAACACTGACAAATATTTAGACTAAATTTTGTTGCAAAATGAAAATTTTTAGTTCATTGAATGCACGGAATTGCATAGTTTTTACTAAGTTTTTAAAGCTCAGTTATTTTGTTTTACACGTAAAAAACCACAAATTTACGAAAATTATTTCAGATTATTTAAAATTTCAACAACCACATACCAGCAAGAGAATGAATCATAACTCGGACACGAAACAGCATGGAAGCAGCAAAATGCTAAACAGCTGAATAGCGAAGCAGGCAACTTTTTAAACTGGTTTGCTTAAAATGTCGATATCGTTACCATTGGTCCATTCAATTTCCATTTTAAAATTTCTACCTACGTTTTTCTAATTTATTTCAACATAAGTATTTTTTATTTACTTTTTCTATTGAATCAATCGAGGTCATTTCAATTTATCAATTACAACGAATGATTTTATCGCCAAAAACGAAAAAATAAATAATAAATAAATAATTAAATAAACATATGAATAAATAAATAAATAAAATAAATATATTATATATATAATATATATAATGTATATATAATATATATATATATATATATATATATATATATATTGTTGCATTTGCATTTACAATTTAAGACGATTAAGCACACACACACACACACACACACACACACACACACACATATATATATATATATATGTTGGTAATGGACCATAATTTTTACAATATTCTATAAATTCTACCGAATGTTTGGCGTTAATATGTTTGTAGTTCGTTTTTTCGATTTTTCAATTTTTGTTGTATATTGTAAAAATGACAACCTCACTTCCAACCCGGCGCTTAACGAACAACGAAAACAAAGAAGTAATAAAAACTAGCATCGTAAATAGTGACAAAGAAGAATATGATGCTATCGATGAAGAAAAGGAGACCAAAGAAGATGACCAGCCAATTAAGAAACCTGACACCTAATTCGCATCAAAGTTCAATTTTACACCAAAGTTAATTTTTACAACGTCAAAGTTCATCTTGACAAAGTCAATATTTCCCTATATATACAACAAGGAGCACTGACGATGATTCATTCGGAATCGAAATATGGCCTTATTTGCAGCATGAATTCGAAAAATAAGTTTATTTTGAATTTTAATAAACTAAACGTTCACCAAAAAACTTTAGTGAGAAAAATCGAAAAAACGAACTACAAACATAATAACGCCAAACATTCGGTAGAATTTATAGAATATTGTAAATATATATATATATATATATATATATATATATATATATATATATATATATCTTTGCTTATAAAATCCACTGACGTTTTTGCATGAATTAATTTTTTGTTTAATTTTGTTTGAATATTTTGTATTACAATTTTAAAAAAGTTATTAAGTCTATTCCAAACGTTAAAATCAATTTTTACCAATAAAATTAACGCAGCAGAAATAAACCTATAGGTTGCGTCAATTTTCAGTATCTCGCTCCTCTAAATCTTCCTTCGTCTATTATAGTTAGCAACTATTTTGTACTGGTTTAGTTTCTTTCATGTTTAATATTCTTCGTAATTTTTATCATTCCTTAACTTTACAAAAACTGCATATTAAGGATATCTTATTATTCATCCGTTTTGCCTCACGTTTTCAGGGTTGGTATGGGGATGGTCTTACATGCTTTCTGAGCGGGCTGACTGAACCGGTTGAAGTCATAGCTCGGTGTTACATATTTATGATCTGACAAGCATGTTAACAAAATAAACTATAAAAATAAGAGTAGGACCATCATGTTCATACGTAAGTATATGCATGTACAGTCAGTCCTCCGTATAACGAATTTGATGGTTCCAAGAAAAAAATTCGTTATATAGAATTTTCTTTATATAGAGTCGGTTCGGGGAAAAAAATTTATATTGCCTAATATTTATTTTTTCTCTTTATTACTCTTATTATTAATTATATATGTATGTATATATATAATTAAAAAATAGTTGGAAGGAGACCATTATTTTATCGAGTGTTGTATAAATTCTACCGAATTGTTGGCATTTATCAATTTAAAGTTTGTCTTTTCAATTTTCCTTACTAGAATTTTTTGGAAATTGTTCAATTTGTTGAATATAAAGTTAATATTAGAGGAAAATTGAAAAGACGAACTTTAAATTTATTAATGTCAACAATTAGGTAGAATTCATGCAATAATACTGTATATATATATATATACATATATATATATATATATATATATATATATATATATATAATTACTGAAATAATTGGATAGTATTTTATTTAGCCTTTTAAAATGTTAAATATTAATTTTAATTATGTATATGCACATAGAAACAATTCAAGTTCAATATTTGAAAATATTTCATTTATCAACGAAAGATGATCCAGTGAAAGAATTAAAACGCAATAGTTAGAAACAAACTTCCATGAACTGAAATGCTAATAAACGGAGAGATTACAGCAGCATTTTAAACATTCCACAGGAGTGAGCATGATCATATTAATTATATGCAGCCAGCATCTGTACGTAAATATTTCAAGTGTGCGAACAACAGTGGATGAGTAAGCAGTTTTATATTTCCAAATGCGCTCCATTTCATCGTTCAACATTTTAAATGAATGTTCAAGTGAATCTATATTAATCTGTCTGCCATATGCAGCATAGCTTTAAATTTTTAATGCATTTAAATTGCTTCCACAGCTCACACCGCCGGTTCATATGCACATTATAATGCAAGCTTTCAACTTCTCCAGCAGGTAGATTAGTGCTGCCTCCTGATTCAGTATATTTTTAGATACACTATATAATATATATATATATATATATATATATATATATATATATATATATAATTATAATATGTGTGCGTGAGTGCGTATGTGTGTTTGTGGTCTGCGCATTTTATAACTTTTGATGTTATGAATAAAATAAATCAATGATTTTAGTTACCATGTACAAAAATTAAAAACAGTTCAAATGATATGGATGATATGTTGTATGATCTTTCTGTTGGAGGTGATGCGATATGCAAGGACACCTATCATATCAAATATTTCTGTTTATTAACTGGACAAAAGTATGTCGCATCTGTCTCCAATTATTCTTATCGTTAACAACTGAGAAAATCTTTTTTCACATGTTCTTTTAAGGTTAGAGATAAACTTTCCAACTTTCATGAAATTGCTTTCATATCGCTTAATTAAATATAAGAGCTCCCCTCCTGGAATTCATTTCGTGATGCGATGACCAAGACGGCTGGTAAGGTTCTTGGTCATGCTGTTCCCATGCCTCATGAATGAATCTCAACCGCAACAAAGGCGTCTGATCAAAACGAAACTGCAGGCTAGACTTAGTGACATGAAAGAAGCCATTCGCTCTCATCGTGGAGACAGCTGCGTAGAGATCGTCAGGTTTCGGCGGCCAAACTGGTGGCGGATGGTGAAGTAGCCTTGCTGAATGAACGGATCAAGGACGCTTTTGGTCATTTCTGGAAACTGTCTCTAGCCCTATTCTTAGTGGTACTGGCCGGTTGATTAGTGACGGAAGTTAAAAGCTAGAGAGATGGAGAGAATACTACAGCCAGCTGCTCAACCGCCCAATGTCGGCGCCCTCGCAGGAATTGCTGGATTTTGCTGAACCCACTGCCTCAGACCCCGGGGTTGTCACTGAACTCCTTTCCGTAGCTAAGATTGTCGCGGCTATAGAAACACTAAAAAGCGGCAAAACACCGGGTTTGTGTAACATTTATCCAGAGATGCTTAAATCAGGTGCACCTATGTGTGCTAGTTGGCTGCACACCCGGGTGTTGCGGTCCGGTGCGACCCCGGATGATTGGAGGAAAGGTATCATCATTCCGTTTTACAAGGGTAAAGGATCGTGCCGTGAATGGTAAAACTATAGAGGCATCACTTTGCTGTCAGTTTCAGGCAAGGTGTTTGCCCGCGTCCTTCTTGATCGCATCCGTTCTCTCTTGCTGTCTCGGCGCCGAGGAGAGCAAAGTGGCTCCACGTCTGATAGGTCTACCATCGACAGCATATTTACGCTCTCACTTCTTCTACAGACCAGACGTGAATTTGGTAGACCTCTCTGGATTGCTTACGTTGACTTGAGAGCGGCTTTTTATTCAGTCAACAGGGATGCTATGTAGCTGATGTTCCGTGGTTTGGGCATCCCCGATCACCTGATAAAACTGTTTAAGACTCTATACACTCACACCTTGAGCTGTGTTAGATCGGAGGGACAATGCTCTCGGTTGTTCGAGATTGATAGCGGCGTCATACAGGGGTGTACACTTGCGCTGGATGAGTTCTTGGCTCCAATGGTTCATGGAGCGTTTCGTACACAAAGGTATGCTTGGCGCCACAATCGGCAGGAAGGTGTTCACGGACCTGGACTATGCAGATGATGTTGCTCTGCTTGCTGAGATGCAAGATGTTCTCATATTGTCGTTGGCCAAAGAGGCAAAGTTTTTTGTTTTAAAAATCAACTGAGACAAAACAAAAAGTCAGGCAATCTCTCTGGGCGATCCGCCACCCGCGTCTGTCCCTGTGCTGGGTAATGACGTACAGATTGTGGATTTGTTTCTATATTTCGGCTCCCAAATACACTCGTCAGACAGTAATGACGCTGAAATTTCGCGTCAAATCATCATTGTCCGCGCGTGTATGAGGTCCCTGGATCGTGGTATATGACACACGGGCATTTCGGTGACGACCAAATTTTGATTGTATTACGCATACATCATCCGCGTGCTGCTCTATGAATGCGAGGCGTGGTCAACTACCGGGACTCATTTGAAGAGACTAGACGCTACAGATCAATGGTGCTTGCGCATGAGCCTTCTGCGTCACCAACGTTGAGGTGGGAAGAACACAGCAGCCCTCCGTTTCCTCACTCCTGTTTAGGCGTTGTCTAAAATTTTTTGGTCACATAGCTCATGCCAATCCTATGGAGGATCATTACCGGGCTTTAAAAGCTGTCATAGACCGACCGTCACCGGACTGGACTCGACCGCACGGCCGTCCAAGACAGTCATGGATCCCTCAGTGGAGAAGAATCTGTCCCTCATCAACTACGGTCCTTACTTGGCTTGCTCATGATCGCTTAATGGAAGCACCTTGTAAACACGGCAACGTCCCGTTATTATGATAATAATCATAAATATAGAGATACCTCGAATCAACTTATTTTTAGGGATGTCAACTAAATCTTAACTATATATATATGGACGCGTGTCGTTTACTTATTCAACTTCAATGCTGTTCAAAGTCTCAAAATTCTGTTGAATGATTCTTATTTTTTATTTGAATGGTATCAAAGATAGTTTAATTTTTAATTTGTTGCCGCACAGAGCCTCTCATACTGCGTTAGCTAACAAAATTAAAGCCTGAATTTTCGAAATTGTATTACCATATTATATTATCATATAAAATTGTAAATTATTATTAAACAAACATATAACACGGATGAAAATGTCAACATGCAAACATAAACAAACATAGAGAAACAGAAATATGTACATAATATATATATATTTTTTTATTTAGGATTCAGACTCAGATATACAGTTGTACAGTTATACCAGATACAATTGACTTTCCTAAACAACTGTATATATATATATATATATATATATATATATATATATATATATATATATATATATATATATATATATATTCATATTTAGAGAGGGAAGAGAACATTATAATTGCACAAATTTAGATGTATTAGTTAGATGTTTGTATTATGTATATGTACGTATTATTATCTATGTATGTGTGTGTATGTGTATGTGTTTCTTTGCATCAGTTGGTTAGCATACCGGTGAGTAGTATATAAAATGCAATCATGTAGGCTTTAAACATTCGTTTCAAGTTTTCCAAGCTCTCGAATTTTGAAGGTGAGTTCGATTGATTTAGTTTTGTTTTAACTGTAGCACTAGGATGTTTGTGTAGCACTAAAATTATTAATAATGACAATTTTTAGCGCTCTTATAAAATAATAGGTGCAGTTTTTTAAGGTAGTTACTTGTAATATTGATAATAATAATATTGTGTCATTTGACCTGATGGAATCAATATTAGTTGATATTTTGGTAAAAAATTAATTGAAAATTACGTGCGCAGTGGCCATCAATGTACATAATAATGTATAAAAAAACCGATCATTTTTTTAAATTACGACAACAATTTATTAACCAATTACTTTCCATTCAACTAAAGTTAACC